GACTTCGAAGCCACTTGTGAACAATGTTCAACCATACTGTTTTCGCTCACTCACTCACCTTGCGTTTCCCTCACCTTCCTTCTCAACGTGGGAATTGAGTTGACAGCAAACCAATGTCAGAGTGTGAACCGCTCAGCCGTCCCACTTGGGTGCTGGGTGTGATCCTCCGCAAGGAGGCGCTGTTTTCATTCCGGAAATCGTGTAACTGACTCCACCGTTCTCCACCTCTCTTTGGATTATGTTTCACTATTGGATTTACTGAATTTGACAGCCGCCGGGCTTCTTACGGATAATATAGCCGCCGGGCTAAAACACGGAATTCACCCCACTGGAGGCAGGTCTTCCAACCCCCCCCCACTGTGTTCTACTCCCTACCTATTTAGGGTAACATAGGGAAATGGTACTCGACACACTTGTGTGTCGGTGCCTTTCCCTCTGTTGTCCCTTTTCTAGTCTACTCTACCCGGGCGGTTTAAGACTAAAGTCCCGCTCCCTAACTATTGCACGTAATTCGTTTCTGCTAAGCAGTCAGAAACCCTAGAGCGCTAGGTAGTCATACACACACACGGACACACACATGCCACATACATCCCCTCCCTGCCACCCACTTTCTTTCTTACGCTTTTGGTTTTCTCTCAGGCTTTTAAGGTTGTTCTTGAGGCGCGTTTCCCTACCCCAGTCAAGGGCTAAGTATTCATTTTCATTTTTCTACACCTATCGTTCTCTCTTGCGCTGCTCTTTCTGTGTTTCTTTCTTTTGTTTCTAAGGCTTTTTAGGTATCTATTCAGGCCTTCCACGCGAGCGCCGCCAAGCGGCACCGTGTGTGTGTCAACCCCTGTTTCCAAGGGTTCACGCACGGGGACAGAGCTCTCTGACGCTACTCTGTCCAACGAAGCTACGCACCAGAGAGGGAAGCATCCACTGGCCATGGATGTGTACCTGCGATCAACGTTTGCACAAGCTGTCCAATCCGCTCAGTTTGATTCATGGTGGTTACATGTTTTCCTCCCATAAACCCTTTCCCTGCAGCTGAGCTCGTCACCGCATCGATTGTACAGATCGACTTCGAAGCCACTTGTGAACAATGTTCAACCATACTGTTTTCGCTGACTCACTCACCTTGCGTTTCCCTCACCTTCCTTCTCAACGTGGGAATTGAGTTAACAGCAAACCAATGTCAGAGTGTTGTGTATGTTCATATTCTGTAATGTGCCCTTGCATTTCTTCATTTTCGTTCAGCACGATTGCATTGTTTAAAGTTTAAACCTTTTTTGTTGACTTTGCCTGTAGGTTTGTGATTGGTTTGGACAGTCTCCTGGGTAGTCAAAGGGGAGCCAGCGTACGAGCCATATCCAAAGCAAATTGCCCGCCTTAGGTTCGCCAGATGAATACCTCACTTTGCCTCAGGAGAATCCATAGTGACCATTCAAAAGCACGTCGAACATTGCCCATCTTTGGGACATTGAGAGCAAGGTCATTGGTAATAAAAATGAAAAAAATTAGCTCAAGATCCTCTCAGGGTGCGAAGATATACCGGTAGAATCCGGTAGACGCTTTGTGAAAGGATAATTAGGACTGTCATTAGGATTCATCCGATACCTACTCTCTCTCTCTCGCTAAAGTAGTTATCATATACACATATCACATATGCATATAATACTATTTATACTATATAGATCTATATAGTATACCGTATACCAACAATTATATCATACGTCAGGCATTCAGATTCGTTTGGAGGATACCTCAGCACTACTTGGAGACTTAGATGTGGACTCAGGTGCGGCACAGAATTGACCAATATGTTTGCATGTTTCAAACGAGAAAAAAACATGAAAACGGTAGTGGTAAGCAGGTATTGTTGAGATTCATCAAATGTTCTTTTGACTGGTTACTAAAGGCTTTGTAGATTTTGTTGCAAGGAGAAACAGTAATTATATAATTGGTCCGGTCACGTTAAGTCTGTTCTGTCAGGCAAGCCGTTAAGCTCATTGATGGCAGATTGCAATCAGCATCTCCGAATGCTCAATTGAAACATGTACTTACTGATGATTCATTGCGCCGCTTTATATTTAATTTCCTACACAAAACCCAACTGGCAAACATCTCTGTCAACTTTGGGACACGTGGCTATGCCACTTGGCTATGCCACTTGCCAGTCCCAAGTCCGACATGTTGGACCCCGTTTGCTTGACGCATAGCTTGCTGTTGCAATCCATTCAGTCGTATTGTTCTTTTCCTCCCAGTATGGACTGCCACATCTACAAGCATTGTTTGCACATCTTCCGCACCATCTCCTGTGAACATATTTCTGCCTCACACGGTCTCTAGTCTTTTAGCATGTTGCCTAATTTACCGATGCTGTTTGGTGGTTATTACTTTCCGTGAGGCTTGGCTCTGCTCAGAACAGAAGGAGAGGAACTTCGTGGCGATCCTGCATGGAGCCTGGCTGAGCAAGCAGTTGAGCTCACAGTTTGTCTGAAATGCCTGGCACCCTATTGGCACCCTATTTGAGTGTTCAGTACAGAATCCGCCAACGCAAGCTCACAGTAATTTCATGGAGAAAGGCAAGGAAGAAGTTGTTTGGGTGTCGAGCGCTGCGAGTTTGATGGATACAGGCCAGAAATCAACAGCTCATGTCCATTCTGTAGGTTCTATCGGAATGGCATGGGGTAAGTGAATAGCGGGCTAGAGGTCATTGCCCATCAGCAGGCAGGTGCTTGATCATTCATTTGCTCGTAGTCCTTCGCGTCAAGGAATTCAGTCTCTCACTCAAACTTCTCTCCAGAAAATGATTGAAATGTTATAGAAAAGTCTAAAGGATTCTCAATGTCAAAAGTCAAGCAAAAAGAACAACTCTCCATATGATGGTCCCATTTCACGACGACATTCATCGCCCAAGGCTCCTCCTTCACAACAATTGGTGGGGAGCTTGCTGGTGAGACTTCCCGACGCCATGCCCACCATGGCCAGGAACTCCAGCTGAAGCTTTATCAAGAGGAATTGTCCCTCATTGTTGTTTTTTCGCAAACAAGATCAAACAAGTGTTTTTGTTGGTTCCCCAAGCCAGAAGCTTTTGGATGCTCACGTTGAGAGATGGCCGGAAAAAAAAAAGATAATCATCCGGGGAATCCTGGACGTTTCCTATGGAATGAGGGGAGTTGGGTCTCCCATCACACAGTAGGGTATTTTCTCCATGCAACAGTTTGACGGGGGAAGGCCATGACTGACTGGCAGTGATCTTTGGATGCCTTGGCATTTTTCTATGAATAGCCTTTGGACATGAGCTGTGTTCAGAACAGGCATCCTGTATTACACCATAAGCATTCCTGTATACGTTTGTTCCTCGTTGTTTTTTTTCTCCAAAGGCTTCCTGATATTATACTATCACGATGTGATTATGTGCCATGCTTTAGTATCAAATGGCTGCGCCGGGATTAAAACACACAATTCACAAAATCAAGCACTGTTTTGCAGGGGATTTGAACATCTCTTTTCGGGTTGGAGTTCTTGGAACATGTGGGAGCTGTGCGCACCAAACACAAAGGGTTGTAGCCACCTGCTGTTGGTCTATGGGAGGACTCAGGACCGTGACGCTGGTCTTTGTTGAACCTTGAGCCTGCCAAAAGGTACTGTAGGTGGCCACAGCAAGTTAGATTTGATTTACAATTGCCCTTGGATGGGAGTTAGGTGCAGCACCTCATGCTGGCGATGCACGATGTCGCCAGCCAAGCTCTACAGTTGTATTTCTGAAAGTTCCTAGTGCATTGAATCGCTTGATTTTGGAGCTTTGCATTGAGGTGGATAGCCACGCAGCTATGACCGGAGTGGATGCCATGCATTTGCTGCAGCCTTATGGATTAAATTGTATTCAATCCAGGCAAACGCTGCCTTTGTTTGTGATTAAATTATCAAGGGGTGGGAAAGGACACTTCCAATTTGGATTCCAAGGTTGTTGCGCTCGTGCGAATTCAGCCCTGAAGCTACTGGCAACATTGTGAGCAGTCTTTTTTCGGAGGCCTTTAGTTGAGCTACAGAGACGGTGTAGACGGTTTGAAATTGTTGGGCAGTACAAGCTTAGCAGTCGCGACCAAACTTGCAAGGTGGAGAAGGTACGGCACAGTTCAGTCCGACAGCTGGTTTTGTCCTGCGTCAAGGTGTGGTTGGTGCCCAATGTTTCAAGCGCTGTCATGTGAATTGCCCTGATCCACAAGACACGCTGTGAAAACGTTGACAATTATAATACACATACTCTGTGATTTAATGGATGTTTCCGTTCGCAAAAAGGTCTTGGCGATGCAACACTTCGAAAAAGTGCCTGTGCCTTACGCTCTACCTCATGTTGATTGGATGACAGGATGTCTCCCACCACTGGGAACACCACTTGAAGACATTCTCATTCTCAAAATGTGATTAGATGAGTTAGATGAGCAGTTGGCCTTTCCCAGTGCAGTCATTAGTGCTGCAGTAGTCCTTGTTGCCAGGATTGAGGAACTCTTGGAGACAGGGCCTGACTTCAACATGTGTATCATGGGAGCATTGCAGGAGTTGGGCTCAGAGAATCATTTTGACTAAAACTAGCTTTTCTGTGACGTCCAGGGCTTTGGAACACGATAGTGTAATGTATATATATGTATATAGACAATATGTGTAGCTCCGGTTGGAGCAACAAAGGTAGCCTCCTTGCCTTCCGACCGTCCTACAGTCCTAAACTCCTATCTATCTACCAAAGTCACCGACCGGTCCTCCGATCCGCCCGCACACCTTTTTCAGGTGCGTCCGTCGTCCGTGTTCCTGGGCCCTTGAGCCAACACCGTATGTCGGCGTTGTGTCTTCGTCACATTCGAAGGTGGATCGCATTCCGAGGTGCTCGACTTTTCTCGATTCACACAGGCTATGTCTATTTCGAATGTGGCTGGCTTTCAAAGGACTCTATCCACCGAGAGCTGTATGTCCAATTAGGATTATCTTTTAGTGCATTGCTGTCGTCGTAAATTCTAAACTTTCCCAACCGGAGCACTTTCCGAAGGAATGTTGAATCCATCGGCTTCGTGAGGCAGTCCGCAAGCATTATAGCTGTCGAGATCCACCGGCATTCCGTGTTGCCAGCCGACTGCTGTTTTATCAACATCACCTCAATTGTTGTTCTCCACTCCTGACAATTTGGAGTTGCCATCTTGTTCACTAGATCATACAGGCTTTTGCAGTCGGTAATCAAAAGTGCTTTCGGCTCTGCTTTTAATGACGATTCGGGTGTTTGCCATTTGAACCTTCCGTCTTTGATTATAGCCCACATGCATCTAATCCATGTTAGCTTATCTAAAGATGAGGACATAGCATATGCTTCTGCACTTAGAGTTGACCTAACAACTCGGCTGATTTGAATGCCATGCAATCGGTGATATTTCCGATATTTTGTTTTCCGATAACTCTTTGGTGCATGCTGCGATGAAAACTCCTTGCTGTGGCTTCAACTGAGATTCGGATGCAAGGCTAGCGTCACCAAAACTTGCAAAAGTTGTTTTATTCATTGGGATTGGCTGCACTAGTATCGAAGTCTCTGACGTTTCCTTCGTTTCTTGCAACACCTTGTTTGCCTCAAGCAGATCTTTCACTCTAGCATCACATATTCTCTTTTGCAAGAATGACACTTTAGCCATCAATCATATCCGGCCGCGAGTGCACGGCTGCATACTGCAAGCTACCACACAAAGCTCGGAGTTGCTGCTGCTCTTGCGGGGTCACTGGGCTTTCTTGTTCCTTTCGTCTCAACTTTGCCACATCAATTTGCTCAATTTGTTTCACATAATCGCTTTGGCATACTTTTATCGAGAATCTTGTTGCTGCTCAATATTCAGTCCTGTGAATTTGAATTTTCCTTTTTCTCGGTTTCCGAACGGCAGTTGTTTCTGTACTTGTTCTAAAGCTTTGTCGAATCGGTGGTTTCCGCCTCCTATCCCATCATCCACGTGTGTCCCTACTATTCCATCCAATTTTGTTGGATCACTTGGGTCTCTAAGTAGGAAGAGGCAATTGTCTAAGGGATGGGCTTCAAAACCTTGGCTTTCAAGACACTTTCTGAATTCCTTGTAGAACAGGAGAGGGGCATCAACTCTTCCATAGGCGTTTCCTTTTAGGAGAAGCACATGTTCTTTTGAGATTCCCAACAACTCCTGAAATTCTACCACTGGCTGCATTGCCAGCTCTCTCTGGTCGGATCGCCCACGTAAAAACGCGGTTTTGATGTCAAAAGCTTGAACCTCCCAATGCAGTGAACTCACTGTCTGCAATATGGCCATCCGGCCATCTCGGGAGAGAGTTGGGCTTTCGGTCGAAACTAATCCTACCTCGGGATCTTGGAATCCTCTAATTACCAACCTGGCTTTCGGCTTCCTACCACTTGGTGAGGTTGGATCTTCCTTCCAAGTCAACACCCACTTTGATGACATGATCCTACTTGGGTGAATTTTGTGTCAACTCAACAATGGTTCCACAGCACTTGTTTCGATCCAACACTTTAGCTCTTTTCTCTTTGCTTCTCGAAACTGCCTTTTCTCATCTTCTGTGAGATTTCGGTATTGCACTTCTGTGTGGGTTTTCTTTGCTGCTTTGTTCAACACTTGGGCATTGAAACACGGATTCTTCATAAACTTTTCCAATGCTTTCACTGGAACTACGAGTTCAACGCTGCAGAACTGTGCATCGGCTATGCTTGATGATTCATCACTCCACGGAGTCCCTTTATCATCTACCCCTTTCAGCGCTGGACCTACTGATTCAATTATACATGCATTAACCACCATAGCTTCCCCTATTGGCTCTGATGGATTTTCCCCGGTTGGCCCTTCTTCAACTACGGTTTCTGGATTGGGTGGTTCGGCTAGCTCTTGATCGGCATTTGGGTCTTCTATTGGAACCTGGCTTGCGTCCAGACCTGGTGGATGGCTCAGAATGGGTTCTGTGCCTGAGTTCCGTCGAAGAGGCTCTTCTTCTGGCTGGCTATGGTGCTTCTATCAAGTGATCTGGAATAGATGGCTCATACTCTTCTGCATCAACCTGGTCTGAAAATTGGAACATGCCACTTTTCTCTTTCAATTGATAGCGAAGCTTGTTTGCCATTTCCTGCAACCGTTTTTCGTCTCCTACCTGGCTGAACCCGTGATGGCTTTGGAACTCACGCAACGAAACCGATCTGAGGCTTTCTCTGGCAACTCTTAAAAGCCGATTTAAATGGGTGATCCAAACTATTGCTCTTGTTTCATGCATCACTACCTGACATGGACCAACCCACCGACCTTTCTCTAGCATGTTGGGGGCCTTTCGTTTATCCCATACCATGCACAGCTCACCACATTTCCAGTCATGTTCTCTGCCTCGTGACTGGCGCAACATGGCCCTTCTGAGTGATTGGCTGTTATCTGCATCGATGAATGCTTTCCTTGCTTCTGTTCTTATCTGCATTCGTTGATGAAACACACTGGCTTGGGTGTCCTCCCCTACACCTAACGAATGTGTTGTAGCATCTTCATCGTTGCAAATGGAGCCTGGTAATTTGCTGGCTCTCCCTAACACTGCCTGCTCTGGACTGTACCCTTTTGCAATGCTCATGCTGTTCTTTGCCTGAAAACATTGGGACGGTGCATAGTCGAAGTCCTTGTCACTTTTGATCGGGATGTGGTTATCTATTCTGCTCAACATTTCTTTTATCGTTCCCCCATGCCTTTCAATTCTTCCTGTTTGCCATGGAGCTGCAGATGTTATCGATTGGATTCCATTTTGCTGCAACATGTTCTTCCAGTGCTGGCTTACGAACTCTCCGGCTAAATCATGTACTATGACTTGTGGGGGTCCGGCCCAGTGCATCCATGTTTCGTTCACAATTCTTTCTGCTTCTTCGGTTCCTCTCATGCACCTACGGCCAAATGGAAATGTGTTGCTTCATCGAATATGTGAATGACATAGTATTTTTGTTCTTGTCCGTTTTTCCATTCGAAACCGTCCAGTGATATCACTTCGTTAAAGTCTTTCGGTTCCTTCAGCTTTCCTGGGCTATGTAACTTTGGTGGAACCCGTTCCGAGCATGATTGGCACAAATATTCACTGGCTCCCTCTACGATCTCTTGAGAAAACTTTAGTCGTTTGAGATGACTGGCTAACTTTTCTGCTGTTGGGTGCCCTAGGTTGTTATGCATTCTCTGGATCAACGACCTTTGAAAGTTATCAAGACTGTGGAATTTGGGGCCTGAATTATTTGATGACTGCGGCGACCATGCTGGGACCATTGGTCCAGGAACACCCCCACTCTCGTGCTCTCGAATTTCTTTGGCTGTCGGGTCCATTGACTCGAACAATTCGGCTTGGCTTGGCTTTGGATCGTCACCTTCATTATCTGCCTTTTCATCGGATCGAACGGGGTCGATTGGTCTCAAGACACCACTGGCTGGCTCTTGTGATTTGGCTACTCCGAACATGCAAATCATTATATGGCTGGGCATGGCTGTTCGTCTTTGCTGTCTTAAGGTCAACTTGGTCCAATGCTCTTCACCTAGATCGAACATCTGCTTGGTTTTCCTGCAAAGACAAACTGTCCTCCTAATTTCATTCGTGGTTTCTCCAATCAAATACTTGTCCATCCCTTTTCCTGCAATGATTTGCTTCACTACAAAGTCGCATTGGTCTACAAGAAACTCTCCCGGCCAGCTGTCCTTCGAGACTTTGACGGATCCGGATTTTTGCAGGTTTTTCTGTAACCAATCGAAGGCTTTCTCCCAAGTTTCTCCAGTGATCTCTAGTCTCACTGGGTCCTCAGGATCTACCTTTCTTTTCAACTCTCGTTGTGGCTCAATGCGTACGCGCTTTGCAGGTGGCTCATCGGATTCGGCTGGAAACAAATCTTGAATGCTCTTTTCCTGAATACTTGGGATTTCGGCTGGTTCTTTCTCCTGCAAAATGCTCTTGGCTGCGGCTCTAGCAAAAATCCGTGGGTAGAAGGCTGCAAATCGAGACAATGCAATTCGCTCTCCTTGGTGCCTGCATGAACCGGCTATCTGAGCATGATCATGATCTTTGCGACAAAACCTTCCGTCCAAGTTTCTGACTATTTGATTCGACGTGGTTTGGAGTCTAGTGTACTTCTTTAGTGGTCTGTCATCTTCAGGATGGACTAACCCAAACCTACACTGGTCTAGTCGAACTGTCTTGGTCAATGCCAGCATCTGTTGAACTTCTCCTTGATTCCAAAGATCTGACGTTCCAGGTTTCTCGGCTGTGAAATGTCTCTGGTTGGTTACCTGGATTTTACAAATCAATGAACACAGCTCTAGATGCTTTTTTGAAAATTCTTGATTAGTTGAATTGTTTCGTACAATCTCATGCTTTCCCTGCATTAAACCTATTCCAGGCACACCATGGAAAGCATTCCGGAGCTACCCAGACATGTTTCGGCCGCAATCGATGGATCATACGAAGCAACTGCACTTGACCAGCAAAAGTCGATAGGTCTCCGTGCTCTTTCGTGAATCTTTCTGCCCTACCACCTTGCTTCTTTACCTCTTCTGACAGTCGGCTATTTGGCTGTGCGTACACCTCTAGTATGTCGATTTGTTGACCGAATGCTTTTCCTTGGGTTTCTTGCTGTACTGCTTTCATCAACTTTGCTTCAAACGGTGTTTCAACAGTAACCATGTGGTCAACAATCAACTCTTCCCAAATCACATCAATCCCTGGTTTCGACGCAGTTGCTCCTCCATCTGTTGACGAGTCTGGCAATACTTGGCAAAATCGCTGATGGGAGCGTCCAACGAATTGATCCGGCTCAGGCACCAGTTCACGTATTGTGAATCTGCTTCGTACACGTGCTGGTATGTTTTCCCAGGGTGCTTCTTTCCCCAAGTCACATGCTTTTGCCCCCAGGAATCCATTGCCGTTGTCGTCCATGCCAAGCTTTGTCCGGGATGTTGAGAAGCTTGGGCATGATCTTCCTCGTTGACTGGACTCTTTGGCGATGGGGTTCCAGGAGATGTTGTTCCAACCAGACTTGCAACACCTACCACGCGACTTGATGTCTGTGGGGCGAGGAAGCTCCCTTTCCCGGCTGCCGTCTGCTTCACCCTTGGTGGAGTCATCGGAATTGTCTGAACCCTCTGAGGCATCGGTGGCACCTTTGAGGCGGCTGCTGCTTGTGGTCGTTGTTGATATACTCGGACCTCTTGGTCCCACACTTCCAGATCGCTCTCTGTCAGCACTGTGAAGGCCTCTTCCGCCCGTGTGGGCGAGTTGACTTGCTGCTTCATGATGTCGGCCAACTCTTCGATCCTCTCTTTCTGGCACTGTACCTCGGACAGCAACTCGCTCATCATGGTCACCTGTTCCGATGGAACCTCTTGATTCGAGACTTGAGTTGCCACCTGATTCAAAAGGATCATGAGCAGTGTCTGGAGTGACTGAACGACATGTTCGGCAATGCTCTTCACCATGTGCAGCATTTCCCCTCGGGTTGGCATTTTGCTCAACGAAATGCGAGTCTGCTTTCGAATTGCTGCTTGCTCCAAAAACGCTGTGACATTCGACGGCTTCTTGGCACAAATCTTTCACATTGATCATGAGCAAACCTGTTTTGCCTTCATGCAACTTCACTGAACGATTCATGCTCTTCAAGAAACACGTGCTATGATGCAAATCAATCACAGTTCCCAGGCGTTTCATCGTTTGAATCGACAGGAGGAAAGGCGTCTGTTTGGGTACCACTTCAATTATCAGCCACATTCTTATCTTCTTATTATCTATTGGGATGTGAACTTGCTTGTAACTATGCTCTATCTGGTTGTTTCCAAAGCGAAATGCAACTCGGCTGGCTTGTTCTTTTACACGGCTTCGGACAACGGGTGGCAATTGGTTCATGAGCTTTGGGAGATTTGCATCTCCTATCACACTACGGCTTGCACCAGTGTCCAGGATGGCCATTCCATTCGTGTCGAAACCTGTCGTTCGGCCAGCCTTACTGATAAGCCCCTCTTCGTTCTCCGCGCTTGGACGAATCTGCGGAGGCATTGAAGGCTTCCTGAACGATGCTTGTCCGACGGCTTTTCGGTGAAAGAAAAAATCTCTGGTTTTCTCTACGATGGCTTCCGAAAAATAGGCTTCGGCTTCGGTTGCAAAATCATGCTTTGAAAACGAATCTGGTGTCTGTTGACTGGTTTTCGTTTCTTCCCCAACCTCTGGCTCTGACGAAATCTCTTCGATCAGCACTTGCTCCGACAGTGCGGAATCTGCGGCTTGGGCTGAAGCAACATTTGCTTGCGACTCCTCGGTCTTCATGGGACATTCTGCTTTCCAATGCCCAAGCTCTCCACAGCGTTTGCAGTGCGTCCTCGAGATTCGTGCCAGCAACTCGTCTTTGCCCTTGGATTGTCCCTTTCGGAACCCCTTTTGGCCCGATTGGCCAAACCCTTTTCCAGCTTATCCCCTGTTTCTCTTCCGTTCCACTATACGGCCTCTGGCCTCTTGGTAGCTGATCAAAGCCGAATGAAGGTCTGGGACCTCTTGAAAGAGGTCAGTCAACTCACGCTCAAACGACTGAACCGTCAGGGCGTCTGCGTCTCCGGCCAATACCAGCTGTTCCAATGTTTCCTGCGACATGTCATCATCGTCAGCTTGCATTGCCAGAATGTTTTGATCCAGCCCTGATTGGTCGGACATCTCGGGATCCTGATTGTCCTCGATGTAGTTGGTTGGGTATACCTTCTTTTTCTCCGACCCTGGTCCTGAAAGAACACTTGTCGACAGGCTCCTCATAGCATTTGCTATTGCATCCTTGTCAAAATTGCCGTTGGTCATGGTCAAGATCTTCTTCTTGTCTTCATGGCTCAAACTGCTCTGTTTCAGCAATACGAACGCGACCACCGTTTTCAACGTTGTGTCAGATCCAACTTCTTCAAAAGCAACATCCAACCTGTTTACGAATGACTGTGTGCTCTCGTCCTGCTTCTGGGTGGTCTTGTAAATTGCTCTCTCGAACAGTTCGAACGTTCTCAACTCTGCACTCTCCTCCCAGGCTGACAGCGCTTTCAGCAGGTGTTTCACACCTTGTTCAGCATTGGTCAAATCCTCGGGCTTGATGTTCCTGACTTGGTGCCATGCAGTCCCCTTGCACAACATCGCCAGTCTAGGCGCCAACATCGTCTTGTCCCGTTTAGGACAAATGCCCTCCAGAAATCGAACCTTTGCTATGTACTCTTTCACGTCGTCAGTGCTGGGATCGAAACTAGGCAGCAGCGTCCAAATTGCATTGGACTTGTCATCACTACCGGCAGCTTCTTTCGGCATGGCTTCCCGAAGTCCACTACGGGCCTGTCAGGCTCCGCTACCAATGTAGCTCCGGTTGGAGCAACAAAGGTAGCCTCCTTGCCTTCCGACCGTCCTACAGTCCTAAACTCCTATCTATCTACCAAAGTCACCGACCGGTCCTCCGATCCGCCCGCACACCTTTTTCAGGTGCGTCCATCGTCCGTGTTCCTGGGCCCTTGAGCCAACACCGTATGTCGGCGTTGTGTCTTCGTCACATTCGAAGGTGGATCGCATTCCGAGGTGCTCGACTTTTCTCGATTCACAAATATGTGTGTATATATAAACATTTTTTCTCAGTAAGAACAGGGATTTCGGAGTTGGCTAAACTTTGAAACTGTCAACAATCAGTTTGTGCAATCCCACAGAAAACAAAGGCATCCACCAACTTGGTGTCCTTTTTCATTTGTTCCATTTGTTTCCTCGGTTTGTATCAACATCCGACATGCACCTTGTTCTTTATTTTAGGGGCAACCAACCACTTGAACAGGCCCTTCCCTGTCCTCTCACTAACTGACACGTGAAGCTTGAAACATGGTTCTTTTGCTGTAGTAGGAGAGCCATCCATTCATGAAGCAGCAGCAAACATCAGCAAAAACACAGTTCTGCGAGCCCACACGAGTTTTGCAAGTGGAACTTGCAGAGGAACATTGGATAGCAGAGTTCGACATTTCCAAAGCTAAGGGCCCCCTTTTGTAAGGAAGTCGAATCTGGAGTTGGCATGAGAAGTTCTGCTCACTGCGCCGCAACGCTTCTCCAATAAGGTCATGGTCAAGGAGAACACACTTTTGTTGCAACTTGTTCGCACAAAGTGAAAGCCACACAGGCTATATAGTCGTTGTCGAGGTATGTTGAGATCAAGTTTAGAATATCATGGCTTTTGCATAGCTGTTTAGCTGGGAACTGCCAAGGAAGCTGCTCAACCATTTCACAGCAGCTTGGGTTGCATAGGAGACATCTAGGGCTGCCCAGCGAAGAACGTGAAAAGGCCTTCGTGCTTCTCAACTTTGTTTGCATTTGCTTCGGTACAAGAAAAGAACAGATTGTGAAGATCGTAGCTAGGTAGAGATAGGTAGCTTGACATGATTGCATATATGTATGAACCCGCACCGCAGCTTGCCACAAGCGATCAGCGTAGAAAACACTGCGTGTTGTTCTTGCGCGTTGCCCCGTGTTTTCTTTCTAGCTTACGCTACCCTGCGCACTCCGCATTGGTAGCGGAGCTCCTGATCTTCGATCGGGGGCTGATGGCCGAGCATGCAGGCTCGGGGGCGGCTGCCCATCCAGAATGGGAGGACGCATCCTCTCAGACCCAGGCTGCGCCTGGAGAGGGGTCACCTGCGGTGACCCCAAGAAGGGACTCGGCAGCGTCCGAGGGTGCAGTCCATGGAACGCCACAAGGCGCTCCTGGATCAACACGGTCAGCTCCGGCAGGACCAGCGAGGCGCATGGGTGGCAAAGGTAAAGGCTGGACACCTTCGATGCCACCGCCACAAATGCCAGCTCCACCAGCATACACTCAGCCGTACCCGGCCATGTCGCAGCTGAGATGGGAACAAGATGTCTATGGACATTGGTGGTACAGCGATGGTCAACACTGGTGGTATGGCCATGGAGGTTCACACCGCATCACTGCACCTCCGGCAGGACCAATCCCTACAGCGACATCCGGTATTGGAGCATCATGGCAATTCGTGAACCCGAGACGATGAAGAGTCCCTCAGGATCCAAGCAGCCACGTGAACCAGCACATCCACCTCCATCGCATGCCAAGAAGACGCCATCTAAGCCGGAGCCCAAGAAGAATTCACCCAAGAAGAAGCAGCCTGAGAAAGGCAAGAAGCAGGCTCCTCCTCCACCTCCAGATGATGATGATGATGACGACAGCGAGGACGAGAGTGAGTCGTCCTA